GCGGACTGAAAGGTCCCAGGTTCGATTCCGGTCAAGGGCATGTACGTTGGTTGTGGGCACATCCCCAGTAGGAGATGTGCAGGAGGCAGCTGATCGATGTTTCTCTCTCGTCGATGCTTCTAACTCTCTATCTCTCTCCCTTCCTCTCTGTAAAAAATCAATAAAATATATTTAAAAAAAAAATAGGCTAAAGATGTAGAGGAATTTTCCCCAATAATATGCACATATGACCAACAGGAATATATAGAATGCTTTTCCGCACTAATCAAGGTGGAATCCATTGGGCAACCTGCCACAATACCAACCACAAATCCCTGCCAAGGAGTTCAGTACAGGAGGTGTTGTGATTGCAGGAAAATTAAAGGCCAAAGCGAACAAACCAGACCTACCAAGAACAGCAAGGGCCCAAAAAACTGGAAAGTCAAGCAGTAAGGACAGAGCACACCCTGGGAGATGGGGCCTGGGAAACCTCAAAGCCAAGACCAGGTCTCTGGTGAGAGTGAGGGTCTTACCCAGCGAGGATATAAGTTCAAAGTTCTCCAGCATCACATTCAGGTACAGCTGTCTCTGACCCTCATCAAGGAGGCTCCATTCCTCCCTGGAGAAGTACAGGGCAATGTCCTCAAAGGTCACGCCGACCTGTCAGAATGGAGACAAACGATCATTCAGAATTTTTTTTTTTGCATGTTCGTTGTAATTCCAGTTTGGTCCTGGAGTGTGCCTGTGTAGCATCCACTTACTCTGCAGCCAATTTTTAACTCCCAGAATTGAAACCAAAGCTGTCTTTCTGAGAACCCACAATCCTACTCCTTACACATCTTCCCCGCCCTCAACCTCTTCCAGGGCACCCCCAGTTTAGTGTGGACACCAGGCCCTAAGGCGAGGGCAGGCTGCTTTCACATCACAGTCCTATCCTTACACATCTTCCCCCCCTCAACCTCCTCCAGGGCTCCCCCAGTTTAGTGTGGACACCAGGCCCTAAGGCCAGTGCAGGCTGCTTTGACATCACAGTCCTGTTAGTCACTGTTACTGCCCTCAGCAAGAGCAGAGGGTTTGGGGCCTGGGAGTGCATGCATCTCAGCTCTGGGCCTTGCCTGCAGGGCCCCAGCCCAGTCTCCCAGTCCAAGCCTCCAAGATAAAGCCAAACCGGGGCTTATGCTTCACCCTTAAGTCTCCACACCAGGTACCAGGGACCATCAGCTCACACTTCCTCTTCCTCTAGCTGTGCACACCACTGGGTAATGTCTTCCTTCTTCCGACCCCACGTTCACTCCCTCAGCTCTGCCCCCTTCCTACTCCATCCCAGTAGATCAACCATGAACTTGGCATATGGTATCCGAGAGTGACTGTACCATAGTCCAGCCGGATGCAGGCCAACCCCAGTCCTCTGAGGGTCTCCACAGCCCGAAAAGCCCGGAATGAGCCTGTGCCGTCCTCCCTGCAGCCTCTGATCTTTCCGTCAATACTCACAGCCCACATCCTCAGGGACCTTCAGATGCAAGTCACCCCCGTCCTCTCTGCCCTGCACCTGCTGTGTCCTCAGAAGCCACAAACACTCCTCTCTCCCCTCCGCCTTCCTCACGGTCCTCCACGCGGGACTGAGCTGCAGGACGGGA